AAACGGGCATACCTAAAACAATTGTCAACTCGTTGAGTAATGGTTCCCATATATTTCCCCATATATTATATATATTTCAGATGCAATTTAAAGCACATCGGGACATGCGGAATTATACAGTATGATTGACCACATTTAACTGTGTCTTGGGTATATGTTTAGATGCAAAACATATGTTAAATCAAAAATTGTTTCTGAGGGATTCTTTGACGAAGAAATTGAAATCATACGTGCATTCTGATTGGTTTGTCGTATTTTCGCACATAACATTCATCGATAGGGGGACGAGTCCTCTTGCAGGTTACGGAAAGGGGCGAGTGGTGACGAATGAGGCCATTCGTGACCAACTCGTGTTGTTCCGGGACTTCTTGCAGGTTACGGAAAGGGGCGAGTGGTGACGAATGGATTGAGGCAAGCCGGGGACATCTGAGCTGAGGTGCAGTGTCCGTGCGCGCCCAACGATACATCATCCGCGGCCAGATCAAACCCAGCCCAGAAAGTTGTTAAAAAATCAACAACTGGACAGTGTATTGTTCCCCACAGCGGTCGCAGTCCTTCGACCATTTATGGGGAGCGAATTTCAGTATTAAACGCGGATAATTTTATTTTTCAAATCTTTGACAGCAAATAACAAAACAATCCAAGAAATATCCTATATATTAGCATTTAGAATAGATTCCTTAATATTCCACAGAGTATATTTAAACTCACCACTTCCCTTATAAAAAGAGGGGTTTTGCTTGTTATATTTTCAGACTCAAGTATACTCAGCTTTAATTTCCCTTTGAAAAGTATTTTAGTTATCACGGTGTGGTGTCTTAATGTTAGTGGATAGCCCGAAGTGATGCAGGTCTCAGACATTAGCCACTTTGGTGAAACCCACGAGCACGGGTATGGTGTTGACTAAACTAAGACACGTAATCGGGGCGAACCGGGATTTAAACCTACGAGCAGAGGTTCCTGGCGCGTCCAAGGGACGCAACCCTGCACAGCGAATTGCGGTGCCAAAGACGATTGGGCAACCGTGCTCCCGACAAACTAACAAGCAACCTTTTAACTTACCATATCATAACAATACAGACATGACCCACTGACGATTTTCTTTATATGCCCAGTCGCAACTCAAATTTATTAATAACCCTGAAACACAGCAGCAAGTCTAGTTCGTGTATTTTCCGGTTATGAATTCCTAATCTGTTGGCGGGGCACACAAGTGGTATATCGCGGTGTGGGAGGGACGGGGGACCACATCGGGGTATAAGGTCTACACATGCAGTCTATGATACACGTGTAACTTGAACATGTTAAACATTCCATAACCTTATCCATCTTGTCGACGAGGGAATGTGATAACGGTGACATGTATATCAGCTAGTTCTTCCAAATGGAATGTATGTTTGTGTATAACGCTGTGACTAAACGTCTCCATCAACACAAGTAGCAGATCTGGAAAATATATTTTTCTTTCTACCAAATTTAAAACAAAAAGAATTGAGTTAGGGTGCATTCCAGTGGATAGTCATCCATCAAGATGCCAAGACGAACGAGTATACCAATGAAGTGGCTGAAGAGTTTCTGACTGAGACGCAACGCCGGATTATATGAGATTTTCGGATCATTAACTACCGGACTGAACAGATTTCACTGAAACACACATGTTAACCACTCCGCCCATGGAATCGAATCTGGTGTATACAAACCACACCATAGTGGAACAACATAAAATATGTTCAAATCGCCGTGGACAATGAAGTGGCTCGCTCTTGAAATGTGTGAGTAGTTGTTTATACGGATGCTCCGTACTACAACCATGAACTGAGTTGAGTGAATGTTGTTTAATACCAGAGTAGGCAACTCTACAGTTATAAGACGACGGTCAGGAAATAATCAAGTCTGAACCATACGAACAGGTGGTTGATATTATGAACACCACTCCACCACGGTACGATGACACGCAAGGAACAAAGTCACCGACCCTGACCGCCGGATCCATGTGAGTCACCTCCTTCAAGTATAGGTAGCTGGGGGTCAGTTCTCCCCGGACTCCCCACGTGATGGGTATATAACGAACATGTAGACATAGGGGCGGTCGGGTGGCCTAGTGGTTAAAGCGTTCGCTCGTCACGCCGAAGACCCGGGTTCGAATCCCGACATGGGTACAATGTGTGAAGCCCATTTCTGGTGTCCCCCGCCGTGATATTGCTGGAATTTTGTTAAAAGCGGCGTAAAACCAAACTCACTCACTCACATTCAGACATACGTTTATGGTAGTGTTCACATCGGATTTATGGAACAGTTCTTTAAGAGCAAACAACGCACTGCATTTAGCCTGCTTTCTGTTGAAAGGCCCATAGCGACGATGACACTTTCACGGAAAGATTTATGCGCGCAGGTCATATTTTACAGTCGAATTATCTAAACTGTGTGTGTCCGTCGTGTGTACGTTTGCATAGCTTTGGGATAAAGTGGGTGAGCGTAGAACGGAAAACCTGTTGAAAGACCAACACGATCGACGGTCTGTGCTCACCTAGAGGTTCAAGCGGTTGTGTTTGGATTTCATTGTAGGTGTCTTGCATTCGGAATTGCCCCAACACGGATTAACAATCGCCTTTTATTTGTATCTCGTATCCTGTAGAACTCGCTGAACATTTCGCGGTGTCTTTACCAGAATGTCCCGGCAAGGCAGAAGAAGGGTAAACAGGCATGGTGAACCACGTGACGATGTCAAGAACGTGCATATCCGCGCTCAAACAACCCAGCGACACCTGGTGTCTGAGGATATTTCTACCCAACTGGTGGAATGGGTGCGAGAACAGATGTTGAAGAAAGAGTAAGTAATTAGAAATCACCTGATCACATATCTATATATTCTTGGAGGGAGGGTGGTCGTAGTCGTGTGGATAAAATTATCTCCCTTAGCCGTGACAGGATCTGCTGGTCGTTGGTTAGAGCTCTAGGTCTATGTCTTTGGTCTGCGAGCATCTACTCTTGTTCTTGGGTCTCACCATGTGGGTAACGCCATCTGAGACCCGCGTTCGCCCCAATGCTTTTAATGCTTTTAATTCCTGAATATACCCTAAATTATAATATGACTTTTTGTGCAGAATTGATTCTTTTTGGAGTTAAAGAGAACACAAAAACAGATAAAGTGTTCGATTTACTTTCACTTTTTGCAAAATTCTATATTTTTAGATGGAAATTTCAAAATACAAATTCTTATTTTCATGTTTATAAAAAGGTAGCTTTTTCACGATATTGATTTCAAGACAGGTAAACAGCAAAAATTCCATGGTGCTTGGATGCTGTCTCCTAAACCTTTTGAAAATGAGGCGCAGCTTTCATTTTAATTTCAGTTATATACTCAAGACTTTAATGTAAGAGACCATGTACTTTCCAGCACTGCAATATGATATTTAAGCTCTGATAGTTTATGCATACTTGATATAACCAGTATGTTTGTATTACTAGAGTGAATGTGTTAGTGAGAAGTGTTATATCCATAACAAAAATCTTAGATGTACTGACAAGTTGTGCTATATGTCATGGGCTTTCTGCTACCCCGGGCTGTTTATGTAAGAGGCACCTCTTCTTATAAACAACGAAAGAAAAAAATATACCCAACCTTTCCAGTGTCAGAATGTTTTAACTTGTAGAACAAATCCTTTTAGACCAGTCAGTCGTAGTGATTTCATGGTTAAACGAGAGAACACACACACACACACACACACACACACACACACACACACACACACACTCAGTTTTCTTCATTTGACCATTTTGGGCTTTTCTCCAACAAAAAGATGTAATTATTGGTCAGAGGGACGTAACTCAAGTCTATTTCAACCAATACACCCCCCTACCACCCCACCCCACCCCCTACCTCACCCACACACACAGACCCCACCCCCATCCCCTCAAAATCCAACCCTCACATCCATAGCCACGTCTACGAATCGCTCACACATTGCGATGTCTACACACCTATATATGAGGTTATACACACAATATAATCTTCAACGACACTGTCCCCGACAGCTCACGTGGTTGCTAGGAGCTTATGGAGAGAGTGATCTGTTTTCTCGAGAGGTCTGCCGGCTCGAGCGAGACACCGTTCGTGATTAGGTGTCTCAAAATCATACGTTTATTTGAGGTACAATACACAACACTGCCAATGGTATTACGACTGGTGTGGAATTTAAAAACCAGCATTCGTGTGGTCGGATTGAAGAACACGACCTGTCGTGATGGTGATGGTGAAATGGGGTTCAACGTCGCGATCAGGATTATTATGCTGATGTAGCGACGTGCATGCATGTGTGTGTGTGGCTCTTTGTACTGGTTTGGACAACTTTTATAGTGCTGGCCCACTGAGATACCATGCCACAGTTCAAGACCCCACTAAGACACAGTATACTCCCGAGCCGACCAGTCCTTGTTTCAGCCCATTAATGCCGAGCGCCAGAAAGGGTAGCAACAAGTATAATCTGTTGATACGACGCGCCCGGGGATCGAACCCCGGACCTTCCGCTCTCCGGGTGGACGCTCTACTACTAGACCACGGAAGCGATCACGATGTCGTAGCTACATTACTTGGGTATGTTGGTTCGAGTCGACCACTTCCAAATTGGGAACTGTGGACTGGTGATTCAGGATTGATATAATTCCTCCCCAGCAACCCAGACACTTCCCCGGTTGATGTCACCGTCCCCCGACGGTGTGGACCCTAATAATATCAATCATTGCTGGTCACATTTGGGAATAAAATATTATTTTGAGAAGATTCCTTGTTTCTTCCTAACGAATCTGTTTTATAATTTCAGAAGGAAAAACTTGAAAATCGATATTTATTTCAATCTCTTTCATTTCATTTTCTTTATTTCATCTGACTACATTTTAAAGCGATCAAAACATGATTTTGTCTCACGTCAAAATGAGAAGGGTATTGGTGAGAAGTGGGTAAGCGAGTTGTTCACGCTGTGGAACAGCATATAACTGCATGCTTACTCTTGTAATTGTACAAGTTTCAGGCAAGTACTCACGGGTAGCGTGAGGTTAAACACGGATATGGTGAGGTAAAGCACGGATATGGTGAGGTTAAACACGGGTATGGTGAGGGTAATCACGGGTTTGGTGAGGTTAAACACGGATATGGTGAGGGTAAGCACGGGTTTGGTGAGGGTAAACACGGATATGGTGAGGGTAAGCACGGGTTTGGTGAGATTAAGCACTGGTATGGTGAGGATAAGCACGGGTACGGTGAGGGTAAGCACGGGTACGGTGAGGGTAAGCACGGGTACGGTGAGGGTAAGCAAGAGTCGGGTGAGGTCAAACACGGATATGGTGAGGGTAGGCACGGGTTTGGTGAGGGTAAACACGGATATGGTGAGGGTAAGCACGGGTTTGGTGAGATTAAGCACTGGTATGGTGAGGATAAGCACGGGTACGGTGAGGGTAAGCACGGGTACGGTGAGGGTAAGCAAGGGTACGGTGAGGGTAAGCAAGAGTCGGGTGAGGTCAAACACGGAAATGGTGAGGGTAAGCACGGGTTTGGTGAGGGTAAACACGGATATGGTGAGGGTAAGCAGGGGTTTGGTGAGATTAAGCACTGGTTTGGTGAGGATAAGCACGGGTACGGTGAGGGTAAGCACGGGTACGGTGAGGGTAAGCAAGAGTCGGGTGAGGTCAAACACGGATATGGTGAGGTTAAACACGGATATGGTGAGGGTAAGCACGGATATGGTGAGGGTAAGCACGGATATGGTGAGGGTCAGCATGGGTTTGGTGAGGGTAAGCATGGGTTTGGTGAGGTTAGACACGGATATCATGAAGGTAAGCACAGACATGGTGAGGTTAAACACGGGTACGATGAGGGAACGCACGGGTTTGGTGAGGGTAAACACGGATATGACTTTGGTCAAAGAATTTCTATCATTCAAATGGTAAATACAAGTTAAAGAATCTCAACTATGTAATATATGTCTTTGTTATAATGCATGTAAGATTTTACGAGCGCTTCTCTAAATTGACCATCTTTTTATCCCCTTTTCCAAATGCCTCAAATGAAAGTCCACCTGGTGACCCGGGTTAGAATAAATCCTCAACACCGCTAGCTTGTCGAGTGAGTGAGTGAGTTGGGTTTAACGCTGCTTTTAACAGTATTCCAGTTATATCACGGCGTGTCAGCTTAATGTGGGAGGAAAGCCCGAAGTGAAGCAGGTCTCAGACGTTTACCAGCTAGCTTGTCGTAACAGGGCACTAAATGGGAATCGGGTGGTCAGGTTGCAAGACATTTAGTTGATTGTGTGTCACCGTGTCCGATGACGTTAATCGTTGTTCCTGCCTTCAGTCACGGAATTGCCTGGTCCAATTGTCAACAAGCCGCGTGACCATGGTGATAGCAGGAATACTGCTGACAGTGGCATAAAACAACATGCACCCATTCACTCATTTCACCACATATGCTCGTATCTCCAAACTGCGGTACTATCCATCGGATCTGTGTAACTTCTACACGTCAGTTGTTAACTGTATTGTCACATCACATTGTCTTGAAACCCGTCAAGAGTGTAAAAACGTTACACGATACATCAAAGCCTATAACACGCACGCACTTAATCACCTTTCCTAGGCTCGTGCTAATCCATAGCGGTCCTATCAGCCTGGTAACTGAAAATGTATGTAATATTATGGTAACTAAAACGGCAGTGTATTACCGCCAAGTATAACTCGGATAAGTCCATTAAAACGTCGGTAATCCCAACCTGCTAATCTGCTAATCCATACATTGAGGGCAAGGGAAGAAGCACCACAGAACATACTCAGATCTCAATGTGACGGGACTATACGAGAGTTGGTTGTAGGAGGGAGCACTGTAAAGTCGCCTTACGAACGTGGAATTATGGACATTTTCGGGAGGTAGGATCTATTATCAGTGTATTGTCCCCAAGAATCCGAGAATGAAAATCGAGTGCTGCAATAATAATAATAATAATAATAATAATAACAACAACAATAACGATAATAATAATAATAATAATAATAATGTAGCGCCATAAGCATTCATTTTGTGAATGAATCTAGCACATTTTAAATGTTTGAATTATTATTATATTTTTTATTTTATTATATTTTTATTATTTTTATTGTTGTACTTGTTTTTGTTGTTGTTGTTACTGTAGTAGTGGTAGTCTGAGGTTGTTTGCTTTTTATAACGGCGCCCTGTAAATTATCAAGTAAATAATCAACAAACCAATGGTTGATATCATGTGCAATGTCCCTCCCATGTGGAGTACATTACATGACTGACACCCTATCAACCTTGTCGCCGAGCATGACAACCCAATCCACCCAGACGTCTCCCACGACCAGTTTTGGTTACTGTGCATTGCAGCGATGTCTCCATTATTTTGTAATATCTATGGCATAATTTACATTAAGACATATTAGATTTTGCTAAACGTATAGTGTAACCTGAAAACAGTATGTGAAGAGTTCTGTGATTAAATCCAACATTACATTAAACGATACTGTATGTATGCTGCAAATATTAATATGGGCCATGCATATGACTGTCAGAATAACTTGTAAATATTGACTACCCCATAGTGTTTCCTCTCGTACCCCCCTCAGCCACCGCCCCACCCATCACAATGTCCTCACTTAAGGATTTGCCACAAACATGCAAGCTCTTGTAATTTGACGCCCATCCTGGACAAAATTGCTTTTCCTCGCGACTTTCACGTTACCATGGCAACGGATTTCCGTTTTCGTGTCTATTAAGGAAAATAGTAATGATCGATTTCTATGATGTCAAACGTAAATAACAAGGTATGCATCGACCACCATCTACCTGTCTTCTTTGTGGAACAATATAAAGGAATATATAGGTTTGGCCGCCTAAACTGGTTGTAAGGTAGGTAAGTAGGCTCTTTATTGTGCTAATTCACTACCACAACTCAGATGTGATTGTTGCTACAAATATATAGTCGCCTCTGACGAGAGCAAACTTGAAGTTTCCGAATCTGAAATGAAGTAATTTTTCATATATTTTTTTTATAGCGAGATATACCTTCATTTTGATTCAAGTTGTAGCTGTGGTGTTGAGGTTGTAGACGTTGTCGCGTCACATAGTTAATGATTACTGTGACGAGGGTGGGGCGATCACAAGGGGTTGGATTTGGGGGTACTACCTGTGATGGAGAATGGACATTTAAGGAATCCCTGGTGTTAACAAAATCTAGGATCACCATCGGAATGAATCAGTATTCAGAATCGTAGCACTCGTTAATATACACGTTAATATAAATCCCAGTGTAGTTCATGTTCAAGACTACAGTCTACCAAATGTACGAATCATGTATGAATTCATACATGTATTTGACAAAGATGTTTAAATAAGACCTAGTTGAAACAAAGGACAAATGTTACACAACTGATCCCCATATAAATATTGTTGTACATTAGTAATTTCAACATTTACTCTTCTAATTAAACATGTATTTTTTATGACAATTACTTTTTCTGTTTGAGAGTAAACAAATCTTAAACCCACTCAATTAAAGCAGGTGCCATAAGCGGCTCAGCTTTGTGTCACTAATTGGACTCACGAGCCAAATCAATACTTAGATAATCAGCCAGGGCTTGTGCAGGGGATACACATATCCCCAGGCTGAGACTTCCAGCTTCTTCAGACAACAGACTGGGCATGTTTTGTCATGGATCGTGATGTTAGGATGAGGCGTGTCCTTGTTTGGGGCCTTGGCGTTTTCATCTATGAGCCCTGGAGAAGTATATGTCGGATGATATTTAGGATGCTTTCTAGATGAGTCATTTTATATGATGTTAAAAGATTTGTAATGACCTTCGTACACGTTGAACATGTGTTTTCGCTGTGTCAATACATGTATTGAGTGAGTGAGTGAGTTGGGTTTAACGCCGCTTTTAACAGTATTCCAGTTATATCGCGGCGTGTCAGCTTAATGTGGGAGGAAAGCCCGAAGTGATGCAGCTCTCAGACGTTTACCACTTCGGTGAAACCCACGACCACGGGTATGGTGCTGACAAACCTAGAAACACAATCGAGGCGAACCCGAATTCGAACCTACAATCATAGGTTTCTGGCGTGCCCAAGGGACGAAGCTCTGCACAGCGAATCGCGGCGCCTTAGACGACTGGGCCACCCGTGCCCCCTGAAATACATTAACAATAATGCGAAGGAAGTGATATTCGTATGTGACCATGCGATATTATTGGAATAAACCTTATATTTTCTCCACGAGGAGACGGAGTGCACACTCAGACTTGTCAAACAGGTAACATGGACACAAACATAAATCGGTTATTTTGAGTGTTTTTGGATTAGGACCGGATAGTTTGATAATGTAACCATGGTTACTGAGATTAACTCCGTTTTATCATAAAGCACTTGTTGACCTTTATCTCTATACCCGTAGAGCTAGCAGGTGGAGCGGTATGTAACAGGACATCCTTGGTTAGGGCCTTAAAATCGTAAAACTTGGCCCTGGTCGTGGATATGCGTTTTTTTGCAGGTGTTTCGTTTTACAGGGTGTGTTTGTTTACTGTGCGATTGAAGGTCGTGATGCTGAAACCCACGACCATGGTTAATAATATGAGATTCGAACAAACGACAAGCGGATTCTGGCAGAGCTAAGGGACGCAACTCTTCAAAGCGAATTGTAACGCATTTTTCAGGCCAATAGGTCAGCCGTTACATCATCTTTGAAAGAGTGAGTGAGTTGGATTTTACGCCGCTTTTAGCAATATTCCAGCAATATCACGGCGGGGGACACCAGAAATGGGCTTCACACATTGTACCCATGTCGGGAATCGAACCCGGGTCTTCGGCGTGACGAGCCAACGCTTTAACTACTAGGCTACCCGACCGCCCCCATCTTTGAAAGAGAAATGTATCCCACAGTGGCCGTTAAGACGTTAAAGAAATGTAATGGGTTCCTTTAGATACACATCCAGTGCATCATTGTGGCAAAGCCCTGATCATGGTTAAACGAGTATCGGTATATGTTGATGTCTAGCCGAACCTTACGGAACTGACGTGATATTATCAGCAAGTCTCACAACTGATTCGTACGAATATTTCAAACAAAAGTTTAAATTCAGGCAATGAACATCCAAGACCCACTGGTCCCATATTTGACAGAGTGAGTGAGTATAGTTTTACGCCGCTTTTAGCAATATTCCAGCAATATCACGGCGGGGGACACCACAAATGGGCTTCACACATTGTACCCATGTCGGGAATCGAACCCGGGTATTCGGCGTGACGAGCGAACGCTTTAACCACTAGGCTACCCGACCGCCCCCATATTTGACAGAGTGTGTTTAAGCTGATCTGTAGTAAGGCGATCTTCATTCATATCACGGGGCGGTCGGGTAGCCTAGTGGTTAAAGCGTTCGCTCGTCACGCCGGAGACCCGGGTTCGATTCCCGACATGGGTACAATGTGTGAAGCTCATTTCTGGTGTCCCCCGCCGTGATATTGCTTGAATATTGCTAAAAGCGGCGTAAAACCATACTCACTCACTTACTCATTCATATCACGGTACAATCATTAAACGCCAACATTATACGCCACCTGACACTTGGAGGTCCAGAGTGATATTCAGGAATGGTCCAATATTCAAACCAGTTATTCGCCTATGTACATTTGAAACAAGCAGAAAACCGACACAGTGACCATGCAGAGAAGGCAGCTATCATATGACGGATTGGTCGCAATTATACGAGTATAACTCGTCAATACACCTGGGGACACATTAGTAACATTACCAGGGACGGGTAGGGAACAATGGCACCCTTAATTTGTTCTCACACCTCAGCAGACGACAATTGTCTTCTGCTTCGCGCTTCATCGATTGAGCAGACGACATGTCGGTAACACGATCTACCCAATTACAGAGCGTTGGATACCTGTTTGTCTCATTAGTAAACAACCAACAGACAAGAGCGGAGGTTTTAGGGATTCCCGCAGATATTGTGTCTCTGTGTAAGATATGTCAAGCGCTGACAGCAACAACTCGCTACAATATCATTACGCATGTTTTTCTTGGGTATTGATTTGAGGACAACCATCCGGGCTAGTTTATCAGTTTGATTATTAACTTCGACCAGTAACCACGCTGGTACAACTTTTCGCTGAAACTTTGAAAGGGGATTCTAATATTGATGGTTTCATGTCGAAATATGTTCGACCCTTCTCGTTGCATCGTCTGTAAACTTGTTGATTGTGCACGCCCAAAGAACAACGTTCTCAACGACAGATTTTAAAGTTTGGAGACATACCATGCTACTCGATAATTAAGCATCTGTGGCTTAAATATAGTGACCTGTGACAATGTTTAACGACCTCTCGAATGGTGTGTCAACGAGTTGGAATGAAATGACGACACTTAACATTTTCAAGGCACCAGAAGGACCATTACACGTGGGTCAGATGGGAGGCAGGAAATTCTGAATTCTGACCAAGGGCTTGTTTGTTTGTCACGTGAGTCCTGCCGTTACATGTAACATTTCTATTGAACCCGGGAAGTTTGACAGTTTGAGCTGATGCATGTCGGAAGTGTCAAGCCGAGTTTTTCGACTGGTCAGAGCATGGTCGAATCTTTACAAATAATTGTGTTATTCATTTTGGATTTTCATCAACCTGGAGTGACGAATGTGAAAGGTTACAATTGTGAATTTTGTAAATATGTGATCGTTGCATGTTTTATTCGAATTTGAGATGTTATGAGGCAAGTATCCATAGTATCATAGTGTTTTATTCATTGTGAGACACAAACCTACCCATTGTTTAACTAACAGGTGAAAGATTAGATATGTCACATTTTGAACGACTTATCACAACAGAGGCTATCAGCTGAAGTGTGTGTTCGACAATATCCGCGTCACCAGCTAAATCACTATCTGTGGGCACAGCTTGAATGACACGCCAAGGACCATCGGGGAAGTCTCTTTACGACTTGAAGCATCAAGGAGCAAATGTCAGACCCAAGCAAGGGCTGTTTTATGACCACAGAGCAAACAGTAAATTCTGCATGTGTGACAGAGGCGATCACCACGGAGATGTATGGATAAAGTTGGGTGAATGACGGGTCATCACACAATGACATAGAGGAACCACCTAGAGGTTTACTTCCTGTCATGGTTTGTGATGAGTGAACTGATTTCTTAATTGTGTCCGTCCCTTCAGACTGAGCTGAGGCCAGACGAGTGTGGTGATAGATACAGGAAGGCAGGTGCATTGCCATGTGCATCCAATATTTCCAGTGATAGTTTAATTCTTCAAAAACGAGTTCGATGAATGGAAACGCAATGCATGTGTTCGCATGAACCTACGATGAATTGTTGTGTGTGCTGAGAAAGGTTCCCGAAGTTCCTGAATTTCGTTTGGTTCTGTTCCAATCAACATCAACAGAATTTCGTTGGTCTTATGCGGCTTTCCAGGGGACCCCCTTTAGGATATTGACGCCGAAGAGAAGTGTTGTGTTTACTGAAAACAGTTCATAAAAGACGTAGTATTACGTTACAGCAGTGAAAAAGGATATCTGCAGAAAATTATTTGAACTGAAAGGCCAAATTGTTTCCTTGTGCGACAGAAATATAACACTGGCACGACGCCATTTGGTACCCTGAGGGGGTGCAGGCTAAAACGGTTTCTCGGACGAAGACGGTACCGCATTTGACGAAAACGGCTGCTATGTGTCGGGCGAAAACGGCATCTCTATTTTTACAAACAAAAAGCGAACCAGTCTCTAAAAGGCACGTGGCAATTACAAGAAAGTAACTTGATCGACTGTTGTCAATCCAGTATATTGGTATTGATGTATTGCTGTGTTTCTTTAACTGTAAGGTGTTTCAAAGATATTAATATGTCACGAGCCAATTAATATTATTATAACTAACAATACATTACGTCATCATCAAGTATATCTCTTTATACATTGCCAAAAGGTTGATGGTGACAGTTGTGCTTGCGATTTGTACTTCCGGTGAAACGCCATGATGGACAGTTTCCTGCTTGTTAATACCAACAATATTACTTGGAAAACTGCGACCGTCCCCACAGCAGGATGAATAGTATCATATCTTACAGACAACAACCCAGTGGGCGCATCTGTGGCAGATCCATATGAACTACAAATCTCATTACTTTCTGATGTTCCTCTGTCGCGTAGATCGGACATCAAAGTGCGTATTGATGTTTCCGTGTAACCCGGTGTAATGCCGGCACTGTGTGGGCGCCGGAATAGGTTGTGCTATTGCATAACATTATACGTCTATGACAGCACCACAAAGCCACAGGAGGCTTCTGTAGACGTTGATGAAAGTTATGGTAATTGAAAGCGGAAATCAAATTATCAAGGACTGCTATTACCTTTCATTGTCCTTTGATTACATGCAGGGTTTAAAAGCAATTGTACCTAAAACAGTTGCTTGCTCTGATAATCGATTCTCACCAATGTAATCCACAATACGAAGTCTTGGTTTGCTTAGGGACCAGAGGATTTCGAGGGGGTCCTTTTCACATTTACATTGTTCTTCTGATCGGAACGTTTAATCAAGGCAAACTACAGATGCCGTTGACAAGCAGATAATCTGTTGTTCAGGGATAATCTTTGACAAGCCTGCGTACAACCATTATACTCTACACTTTCATGACATGGCAATCGTCCCTGACATCATGTGGTTGTAGGGAAATATTGAAATGACTATGAGTAATTCACGCCATCTTCGAAGACCAAGAGACCAGAGAGTACACTGTGCGCTCTCTGGCGGCGGCAGAACATCTTCAAAATCGAAGGCCGTGACCTTTGAACATGATATTGGACGTGACCTTGAAACATGGCGTCTGTTGTGGCAGCGACTTCTACGGCAGAGGTGAGTTAAAGGAGTGAGTGAGTTAATAGAGTGAGTGAGTTGATATAGTGAGTTAATAGAGTGAGTAAGTTAATAGAATGAGTGAGTTAATAGAGTGAGTTGATATAGTGAGTTAATAGAGTGAGTTTATAGAGTGAGTGAGTTGATAGATTGAGTGAGTTAATAGAGTGAGCTAATATAGTGAGTGAGTTATTAGAGTGAGTTAATAGAATGAGTGAGTTAATAGAGTGAGTGAGTTGATATAGTGAGTTAATAGAGTGAGTTTATAGAGTGAGTGGGTTGATAGAGTGAGTGAGTTAATAGAATGAGTGAGTTAATAGAGTGAGTGAGTTGATATAGTGAGTTAATAGAGTGAGTTTATAGAGTGAGTGAGTTAATATAGTGTGTGAGTTATTAGAGTGAGTCAATAGAATGAGTGAGTTAATAGAGTGAGTGAGTTGATACATTGAGTGAGTTAATAGAGTGGGTTAGTATGGTGAGTGCGTTAATAGAGTGAGTGAGTGGGTTCATATAGTGAGTGTTATTAGAGTGAGTTGACAGTGAGTTGACAGAGTAAGTGAGTTGATAGAATGAGTGAGTTAATAGAGTGAGTGAGTTGATATAGTGCGTTAATAGAGTGAGTTTATAGAGTGAGTGAGTTGATAGAGTGAGTTAATAGAATGAGTGAGCTAATATAGTGAGTGAGTTATTAGAGTGAGTTAATAGAATGAGTGAGTTAATAGAGTGAGTGAGTTGATAGATTGAGTGAGTAACTAGAGTGAGTGAGTTGATAGATTGATACTGCCATAAGTATTGCTTATGACTGCTGCTGTTACTGAACTTTATCACTGACTTGGGACAGTAACATTAACAACATGTTTTGGGACATGAGACAGACGTTCTTCTTCTCTGACAAGCTGTCACCAGCGAGTTTCATATGTAACGCTTTTATATCAGTGAAATACTCGGGATATCTTGGGGGCGCGGGGCCCCAGTTATGTTTCTAGGTTTGTCAGCACCGTACCCGCGCTCTTTGGTTTCACCGAAGTGGTAAACGTCTGAGACCTGCATCACTTCGGGCTTTCCTCCCACATTAAGCTGACACGGCGTTAAACCCAACTCACTCACTCAGGTTAACTATACTTGTAGATTCATCAGGGCCACACTGTATCATGCGGGTCATGAGAGAAGCCCTGTAGGGATCATTAGTTCATGATTAAGCTGAGGTTGTATCATCGTGCTCCGAAGGCGTTGTATCTCAATCGGCTTTATTGTTGGCCACATTATTATAGCCTGTTGCTCGATATACAATTGTACAACTTGTCCTCATGTTGGTCGAACTTTATACATTGTTGATATAGTTTCTGGCCTCTGCAAATAGATAATAACGAGAAGAAAACCTGACAGAATTAAATACATGTGTACCATAAAAAAGGTAAATATTTTTTAATTTTAAACAGTTTGTTGAAACAATATCTACCGACCCTATTACTTTGTATTTTAATATAAAAAACGTTAATTAGTTCGGCTTATCCAAACTAACTGGTAAGCATAAACTATAAACCGTTTGACCTTTGTGGATGGTAACGAGCGCTTGAGTCAATACGATTACTTCAATCCTGCCTTACTTGCCGCGTGTTGAAAACCCGGAGAGTATCTAACGTAACAAGTGTTATAATTGGGATAACTCTTTCTTAGTAAAGTACAGAGTCTCGTAATTTTTGGGGTTGAGTCCCGTCCGGGATACCGGAGAGTATCTGTAAAGCGGAAACCATAAACAGTGTGTCCTCCCATTCGTCACGACTCGCCCCTTTCCGTTACCTGCAAGACACACATTCGTGCATTCGTCACCACTCGCTCCTTTCCGTTACCTGCAAGAAGACTCGTCCCCCTATCGATGAATGTAATGTGCGAAAATACGACAAACCAATCAGAATGCGCGTATGATTTCAAGTTCATCGTCAAAGAATCCCTCAGAAATAATTTTTGATTTTACATACGTCTTGCATCTAAAGATATACCAAAGACACAGTTAAATGTGTTCAATCATACTGCATAATTCCGCACGTCCCGGTGTGCTCTAAGTTTCATCTGAAATATATATAATATATGGGGAAATGTGTGAAACATTACGCAACGAGTTTACAGTTGTTTTTGGTATGCCCGTTTGCGCTAAGACGGAACCCGGTCGCTAAAATGGCCACGAGATGGGCACGAGTCGCTATTCGGCTTGTCCCGGAATAGATAAGATTTACATGAGAACAACGTCACACGCTGTGAGGGGTGCCGGTGAAGAGATGAATTATAATGTTTGAGAAAACAAATGTACCACTTGTCTCAGACAGGGAAACAATTTATGATCGTTTTTATTCATTAGCGGATTTTAAAGCTTGGTGTTACAACACAAAACTTTAAATTGATTTTGTATTGTTGTGGCCACATTCCCTAATACAAGGTCAGTGGATTCGTAGACCAAATTATGTCAAATAAAACGCTTGTCGAACATAGTTGAACTCTAATGACTAAAGCACTCTTTACAGCCATGAAATAGGTTTAATGATGGACTCAGCACCATTTCAGCTATATGACAGCGGTCTGTAAATAATCGAGTCTGGACTAGACAATCCAGTGATTGATATCATGAGCGCCGATCCACGCAATTAGGAACGATGACATGCTTCAACCAAGTCACTGTGCCTGACCACCCGATCCCGTTTGTCGCCCCTTACGACAAGCACAGTCGCCTTTTACGGCAAGCATAGTCGCCTTTTACGTTGAGGTGAGGTGAAATTGGGTTTACGTCGCGTCCAAGATTATTGCACTTATATAGTGACGTGCATGCCCGTGTGTGTGTGTGGCTGCTTGTACTAGTCCGGACTGATGCCGATTTATAGTGCCAGCGGCCCACTGAGATACCATGCCGCAGTTTAACATGAATACCCCATTCAGACACAGTATACTGACTCCAGTCCTTGTTTTAACCCCTTAATGCCGAGCACCAGACAGGGTAACAACAAGTACCATCTTTTAGCGTCTTTTGGTATGACGCGGCCGGGGATCGAACCCCAGACCTTCCGCTCTCCGGGCGGACGCTCTACCACTAGACCACGGAGGCGGTCTCGCCTTTTACGGCAAGCATGGCTAAGAGACACATCAAGTTAACGTTTCAACACACACCACAAGAGTGGCCGTACAAACCCGATCTGATTACACTTACAATAAAACCACAGCAAACATAATACAAAGCCAACCTTTATTACACACGCTGGATAAATAACAATAAGCCTCGAATGTAATGTTAATAGAAAACCATACGCTGTGAGCACGTATCAAAACTTGGTATTAAGACAGATGAACCACAAAGAACTACAGCGTACAGCCCAGTATATGTGCCATTGGTATGTGTTGGTTAAAACCCGCGTACACAATGATATCTCCTGACTGTAGAGTGACTACCTGAGAACGTGTCCGCTGAAATCCGAGTACAGTTATACACAAGGTCAAGTGTCGCCCAAATGAATTGAGGAAAAACATCGGGGACAATCTCAAAAATATTTTTATTTTTTTGTATAAGCGTTTCCTACCAATCATTGGATTGTTTAACGAGTTGGTTCGCTAACAGTTTAAATGTTTTATTATTTGTCAAATAAGGAATAATATTTGGTGATATATCAGGTATTATAACCTTTACAAAAAGAATTGAATGAGATGAAATAATGATAACATCCTGTAATCCGAAATTATTACTATCTCTTGTTGGTTTAGGTTTGTGTACCGTTAACAGAGACCGGTGAACATGAGAGGCCAGTCCATATTTAATAAATAAGAAAAAACAAATGAAAATATAATAATGTTTGGTAGTGCCTTATTAGTGAGTGAGTATGGTTTTACGCCGCTGTTAGCACTATTCCAGCAATATCACGGCGGGGAACATCAGAATTGGGCTCCACACATTGTACCCATGTCGGGAATCGAACCCGAGTCTACGGCGTGACGAGCGAACGCTTTAACCAGTAGGCTACCCGACCGCCTTTTGTGCCTTATTAAGTCAGTAATACAGGAAATTTGAATTATATTTTTAAGAAAGGCATTAACTACAGAGCCTTTCGGAATAATGTTAACCTTTAAACAGCAATGAAACATACCTCGGATGCTATTTTAAAAATATTTTGTGAAACTGATTTCTTCTGTCCTTAGGCAACTGGAAACTGTCCTCAAAACAAAATTAACTATGATCATATTATTTTTGATCATGTGCTTTTTCAGAAGAACGTTTTTAAAAATTCTTTCTTATTCTTCGAAAAGTGTACCGATGTAACTTGGTTTGAGAATTACTGTTATTTTTTAGTTTTGTGAGTTAAATGAGCTTCAGATTTTGATACATTCCCTCAGATGGATCTCGTGGCACCGCATTATTGGGTTGTATTATGTTATTGGGGTGTATATATGAGAGAGTAATTGTTTGGAGAAAGGTATTTCTGTGAGACACGTCCGTTGGGAGCTGCCATGAACATGGAGATGATGGATTTCCCAGCGTTTGGTCAACCCAGAACTATAGTAGATGTTGTGAAGCAAATTAAGTGAGTTTTAATTTAAATTTGATTTTTAAACCATTTCGTTAAAAAACCAGATACCCTCGATTTTGCTTACCCTAGGTACGCTTGAATGAGAAGGGAAATTGTATATGACTGTTGAGCGAGTGAGTTTGGTTTGGTGACTTTGAACACTATTTCAGTTTTATATTCACCCGGTTCAACAACAGACCAAGTATAGATGTATAATAATGATTCTACAATGCATGAATTTAGACTATACTTAATTGTGATTTTGCCAATCTGAGTTTCTAATCACGATACCCACCTCTGAAACAGCTGACTTGACGGCCTCATCACCTCGTAATCTAATATTTTTAGTAATATATAGTACCCTAATTTGACACGGTATACGGTCACTAAAGACACCACAACGAAATTATTGTGCTGAAGTATCACTGCGCTGAGACGCATAGAAGGGATGGATTT